TGATGAGAGTTGTTTTACCAGTTATAAGCAAGTTAACTTATCAAATAAAACCTAACAAAGCTAACAACCTACTCATGATTCAATTGCAGCAAGTGAAAGGGTTCGAACACAAGGAAGACAACGACTCAAAGTACTAGACCACAAAGAACTTTCATTAAGCCAAAGCATCAATAGGGGTTTGGTTTGATTGAACTAAACTAAGCAGAAATGTAAATAAACTAGATATACGCAAAACAGAGACTTGAAAGCAAATGCAATGATAATGGAAAGCACCAAGTATCGGGATAGCAACTGATGCAGAGCAATAGATCTCGGCTAACAAGGTTAAGGCCCTTAGTGTTAAGCTCACTCTTAAGCATGGAACACGAATAATGATCATCCCACTTTCGTGATGCTACTAACCACTTTGTTGAGTCCAAACATCTAACTAACTCTCGCTGCTAGATATAAGGACTCTCCAAGCATTAAGATTAGGTTCCAATAAGCTCACTTAACTCCTTTGACAACACTTTCATGGCCAGAGGTCATTAAACCAAGCAAAAGGTCAGTCCGGCATTCCGACAAACACCTTACGGGCAGCAGAACACCTCAAGGCAAAGCTCAAAGCTGTAACCGAGAGCTAAGCATTAACCTCAACCTAAGCTCGAGAAACGTAAGGGTTGAGCCGAAACTAAGTTAGCCAAGCTCTAAAGCTTCTACATCTACTATCCCGACACTCGATGAGTTGACTACTCACTCATGGCCATGGGAAAAGCCATGATTGAGCTCGAGTGAGGTGCGAATAATGTTATGCAAAGATAAGAGCGATTAACAAACAAAGATTGAAACTTTAAGCTAAAGACTAAACCTTTATAAAGAAAGTAACTTAAAACACCAAAGATCCGATGCTCTAAGGATTGATTACAACTCAAGCGTAAAAAGAAAGCTTAAAAACGTAAAAGGAAAGAAAAACTAAGAAGACTTAGTTTTATTTCAGGGGCTAAGAACATATATATAGCCCCTCATAACAATACCCGACTCGACCCGAAGCGTAAATGGATCGCCCAGTTCGAGTCAACGGTCGACCCAGAAAAGTTAACAAAATACATTAAATATCGGTCACTTCATATAAGGGAAGTGACCGATTTCCGTTGCCTATCCAGCGCGTCCAACAGCTCCGTGTCGCGACTCGAGCTTCTCGATAGGCGCAGTATATCGGTCTTCCTCATCGGTTGGTGCCGATATCATGGGATATCGGTTTTTTTAGCTTATTCTTCACCCAGTTTGATGCGCCTGGTCCAACGGTTGGAGAGTCTTTATGCTTCATCATAACAAGGGGATAACCTGGGACATCTGTGCTTAGAATTAAGGTGCACTAACGTCCTGATTCTCACCCAAGTCATGAAATTCAGTGGGTTTGTTGAGACTCCATCTTCCCGCTATTCCCAGTGCTTCTCACTGGTGTTCCTTGATGATTCGTGACCAATTTCTGCTCCACTGCTCCATGTTCGATCCAGAACCTTGTAATTCCTCTGCTCA